ACCTGTACCTCTGAAGCAAATAATACATTATATGTTAAAAAAAAAAAAAAAAAGAAGATAGCAGGAGGGGAAGAATGAAGGGGGGGAAATCGGAGGGGGAGATGAACCATGAGAGACTATGGACTCTGAAAAACAAACTGAGGGTTCTAGAAGGGAGGGGGGGTGGGTTAGCCTGGTGATGGGTATTAAAGAGGGCACATTCTGCATGGAGCACTGGGTGTTATATGCAAACAATGAATCATGGAACACTACATCAAAAACTAATGATGTATGGTGATTAACATAACATAATTAAAAAAAAGAAAAAGAACTTAAGGCCACATCAGGTTTAAAAAAAAAAATGAGCACAACTGAACAATAATATCAGGATGGACACCTCGAGTGGTAAACATATAAAGAAACAGAAGGAGGTGATTACTGTAAAGATCAGAGAGTGGTTACTTTTAGGGGAGGAAGGGAGTTGTGATTGGGGTGTGATACAAGGAGGAGTTCTGAGGGGGATGGACAATTTCCATTTCTTGACCCGGCTGGTAGTTATAAGGATGTTTGCCTAATAATAATGCATTGAGGTATGCATCTGTTCTGTGTGGCTTTTCTGTACCTGTGTTTTACTTTATAATAAACAGTTAAAAATACAAAATATTTAATTAATTATTTACTTAACTTTTTTAGAGAGATAGTGTGCAAGAAGGGGGTCACCTGCGGGCAGGGGGAGAGGGAGAGAGAGAATCCCAAGCAGGCTCCACACCCAGTGCAGAGCCTGATCTTGTGTTCAATCTCATGACCCTGAGATCATGACCTGAGCCGAAATCAAGAGTCAGACCAACTGAGCCACCCAGGTGCCCCCCAAGATATAAAATATCTTAAAATAATAATGCATACTATATCTTTTTTAATATATATATTTGATGATGTTTATGTTTTTTACTAGATTGTTGTAAGTTCTGAGAAATTCTGTCATAAACTTTTTTCTTTGTTTAAGCACACACATGCACACACACACACACACACTCAAAATCAAATAATAGAATGCTTAGGTTATACTGGAAGCCACTAGATGAAACATCTGATTGCTTCAAGGAGGAGTTTTATTCCTACAACAACCCTTATTCCAAGTTAAGTACCTCTCCAGAAATTTTGACATTGATTACACACCAGGTCCCCAAAGCATTATTTTCAGCCATGCATGACCTCCCCTGGAGGCCTGTGCCCAGCTGGAGCGGGGTCATCCTCCTTCTAACAGGGGTCTTTTCTTGATCCCTATTAAACATCAAAAGGGGATTAAATAACTTGCAGTAAATATTTTGTTTGGTCTGGCCAAGATCCATTTTAAGTGTTATAGCTCTATATAGCATGAGGCTATATAGTGAAGATATAAAGTCTGGGGCCATCAGGGTGAGACTGGAGACAATGGTCAGGTTAGGCTGGCTGCTAAAAAGGCCCATCATGTACCTTGTGCATAGAATGCTGAAAGCTTGAAGTACCCTTTGGTACCATCAATGTTCATTGTGCGAGAAAGAAGTATTTTATTCAGTGAACCTCACAGACTTCTGAATGTCAGGGGCTAGAGTGCCTTCAGTTTATCACACTGCACAACTCCTGGGTGCTGTTTATGGCCTTTTATGCTCAGTAATGCTGCCCACCTCACTTTTTACTTATCTTTCTCCAGAGATTCACTGTCATCATTCCTGTAGTGGTTTATTTTATGTGTCAACTTGACATGGCTGAGGGATGCCCAGATAGCCATTTCCAGATGTGTCTGTGAGGATGTTTTGGAAAGAGATCAGCATTTGAATTGGTAGATTGAGGAAAGATCACCCTCACCAATGTGGGTGGGCATCCTCCAATCTGTCAAGGATCCAGATAGAATAAAATGCCAGAAGGGTGGATTTACTCTTTGTTTGAGCTGGGACATCCATCTTTTCCTGCCCTTGTACATCAGTGATGCTGACTATGCAGCCTTCAGACTTGGATGGGGACTTACATCACTGGCTCGCCTGGTTCTCAGACCTTTGAGTTTGGACTGGGATTATAGTACCAGCTTTCCTGGGTCTCTGGCTTGCAGACCATCATGGACTTCTCAGCCTCTACAACTGCAGGAGCTAATCCTCATAATAAATTTCTCTCTCTATATCCTATTGGTCTGTTTCTCTGGAAAACCTTGACTAATACAATTCCCTGATCCCAGAAATGCAATGAAGTAAAATTAATAGCGAATTCTTGTTCCAGAGATTTGAGGATAGTCCATTTTTATAAATACTCAGTAAATATTTAGCTATATTCACTAGCAGCAAACAACTCACTTGTAAACAGGAAGAATGGTATCTTGCACTTGTAACTCAAACAATGCATATGGTTATGTTTTTCTTTGACTTTTTTCTTTTTTTAAAAAAGTATACATTTTTCATTTTTAAAGTAATATGAATCTATTACAGACACACTTGAAAAATGAAAAAATTCCTGTATTCTCACCACTATAAAACAATCATAGTTATAACTTTGTATATTTCCTTCTCATCTATTTCGGGATGGATATTGTTTTCATAGTTTTAATAAGAACGTGCATATACTTGTGTTTTTTTCCTTTTAAATTTAGCCTTAATTATGATATAATCATATACATATTTCCATGTTGCATTGTTATCACAACAGTAATTTTTTTACTATATGAATTTTTGTCATATGGCTCTATCCTATTTTTTAACTGTTAATCTATTTTTGGTCAATGTATTTCCCCTCACACTTGAGCAAATATATTTTTGTATCATGTATATCATAATGCACATTGCATCTTGGTTATTACTGTTCTGAATTATAGAATATTAACAAGTGTCAAGAATTTCAGTAAACTTCCATCTAATTTTTTTTTCAGTTCTGTCATCAAGTCTAACAAATCCAGTGATTGTAGAAGCAGGAGGCATATATTAATTTGCCAACTGTTGTTCTTCCCAAGATCTTAATTATATATGACTTAATAAAGCTGTATAAAACTTGAGCAAGGCAGTGATCTTACTTACATCTAGAAGTTGGTCACAGAATAGCAATTGTGGACAGTTTAGAAACTCATGGTAGAAAGCGAGGGCTCTTTATTTGGAGCCCAGGAAGGTGTAATGCTACATTTTCGAAGTGTGTATGTGCATTCTTGGGAGCTAGGTCTTGGTTTTCACCATATGTTCCAAAAGAATCCAGTAACTACTGATACAAGCACAATGTTTGCTAGTTGGATGGAATGCTATTTTTGTGAGTTCCTTTGTGTATTTGTTGCTGTCTCTTTCTCTGCCTTCCCCCTTCTCTGTTTCCTCAGTCATTATATTTAGTAACAGAACTCAACCTTTGGTGAGCAGTGATTTATCACATGAAAGTTTATAATGACTTAAACATTTTTGAAGAAACTGAACACATTATGTGAAATTGTTAATTGAAAACTGCATCAATTGGGGCGCCTGGGTGGCTCAGTTGTTAAGCGTCTGCCTTCGGCTCAGGTCATGATCCCAGGGTCCTGGGATTGAGCCCTGCATTGGGCTCCCTGCTCTGCAGGAAGCCTGCTTCTCCCTCTCCCACTCCCCCTGCTTGTGTTCCCTCTCTCGCTGTGTCTCTCTCTGTCAAATAAAATCTTAAAAAAAAAAAATCTGAGGAAATCTTAGTCAAGGTTTTCCAGAGAAACAGACCAATAGGATATATAGAGAGAAATGCATCAATCTGTGTTGATTTGGGGATGTTTTCCCATTTAAGTCAGTAAGTTAGTGTTACCTTTCTTTGTTGGAATTTTTTTCAAAAGCATGACCAGCATGCTGATCATTAAATAAATTTATGCTTTTAATACAAGTTATTATGTTTTGTTTTGTTTTTAAAGATTTTATTTATTTATTTGACAGAGAAACACAGCAAGAGAGGGAACACAAGCAGGGGGAGTAGGAGAGGGAGAAGCAGGCTTCCCGCTGAGCGGAAAGCCCGATGTGGGGCTCGATCCCAGGATCCTGGGACCATGACTTGAGCTGAAGGCAGATGCTTAACGACTGAGCCACTTAGGTGTCCCACAAGTTACTATGTTTTAACAAGTCCATAGTGAATTGTGTGTTGAAATCATTCATCAAATGCAATTATCTTTTTACTCTGTTATTTGGAAAGGTATACTTTACTAACTTCATTAAAATTTGAGGCTAACTTTTTGCACAACTAAAGCAAAGATACAGTCTATGCAAAGAACCTTAAATTATTTTAGATGTTAAAAATTCTTCTAAATTAATTTGATTCTTTTCTTCTTGATTTCTAACATGTTTCTTTTTAATTTGAGTATAGTTGACACACAATGTTACATTAGTCTTAGGTGTACATCATAGTGGTTCAACAAGTTTACCCATTATGCTATGTTCACCGTAAGTGTAGCTACCATCTGTTCAGATACAATGCTATTACAGTATCATTGCCTATATTCCTTATGCTGTGCCTTTAATCCTGTGACTTACTCATTCCATAACTGGAAGCCTGTATCTCCTACTCCCTCTCACCTATTTTGCCCATCCTCCAACTACTTCTCCCTGGCAACCATCAGTTCTCTGAATTTATAGGTCTGATTCTGCTTTTTGTTGTTTGTTCATTTCTTGTTGTTGTTATTAGTTTTTTGATTCAACTTATGAGTGAAATCATATGGTGTTAGTCTTTCTGAGTCTGACTTATTTCACTTAGCATAATACTCCCTAGGTACATTCATTTTGTCTCACATGGCATGATCTCATCCTTTTTTGTGGTTGCATGATATTCCAGTATGTGTGTGCATATGCATGTGTGTGTGTGTGTGTGTGTACCACATCTTCCTTATCCATCATCTTGATGGACACTTAGGTTGCCTCCATAAAACTGTCCTTCTTTAAAGGATAAACCTTAGTTATTTTTGATTACTAAATGACATGAATAACTTCTCTTTTCTATTAAAACAGGGCTTCTAATATGCAATGATTGCTTTTGACAAAGGATTAATCAGTGTCTTATGTTTTTCTTAGGAATGGGCTGTTTCTGGGGAGCTGAGAAGAAATTCTGGACCATGAAAGGAGTATATTCAACTCAAGTTGGTTATGCAGGAGGCTACACTCCCAATCCTACTTATAAAGAAGTCTGTTCAGGTAGGAAGAATTTGCTCCAACTTCGATTATAAGGAGCAACAAAGGGCTTGTCTCTGCTGGCAGGTGACAGGATCTTTAAAATGCAAATATAATTTTTTGTGTTGTCTTAGTCTTTTCTTTCCCATTTCTATAAGTATACTTGATCTCTCACTTTGTTTTTATTTTTTTAAAGATTTATTTATTTCAGAGAGAGTGCGCACATGTGCAAGCCGCGGGAGGGGCAGAGGGAGAGGGAGAAAATCTCAAGCAGACTCCTGGCTGAGGTGCAGACCTTAACACGGGGCTTGATCCCATGAACCTGAGATCGTAGTCTGAGCCAAAACCAAGAGTCAGACACTCAGTCGACTGAGCCACCCAGGCTCCCCCTCTCACTTTATATTTTTAGAAGATAATAGATTTCCTATGGAATGTATCATTTAGCTTTTGTTGCAGAATAATCACTGCAAAATTTAATTCTAAAGCAATCACTCATTAGTTTATGATTACGTGGGTCAGCAATTTGGACTGCTCTCATCTTGGTGGTTCTTCTGCTGGTCTCGTCTGGGCTCACTCATGTGACTCTAGTCAACTGGTAGGCTGCCTGGGGATTAGTTGGTCTAGGATGGCTTCACTCATAGGTCTGCATTTGGTGCTGGCTGTCCCTTTTTGTTGGCTGGGGTAGGGGGAATGATGTACCATGTCTTCAGCACACCAGCCTGGGCAAATTCACATGGTGGTGGGTGCAGAGATCCCAGGAGCAGCAAGAGAGGATAAGCCCCATTGTGCTAGCACTTTTCAAGTTTCTGTTTATATCACATTTACTAGTGTCCCACTGGCCAAAACAAGTCACGTGCTAGCCCAGAGTCAATGCAGGAGGGATCCCCCAAAGGCAGGTATACAGAAGGATGTAAAGACTGCAGTGGTCTACTATATGGGAAAAACGTCACACACTGTAATTGTTTCTCTGTGGGTAAGACATTCAAGTCTAGTCTATAATGAAGGGATTGGCAAACTGTGGCTTGCAGGCTAAATCCTACCCACTGCCAGGTTATGTAAATAAAGTCTTCTAGAAACCCAGCCGTACCCATTTATTTATATATTATCTGTGAATGCTTTCATGGCACAAAACGTTTATGAGTTAGCCCTTTACAGAAAAATATTTGGCTACCAGGATAGGGAGATGCCCCCGTGGCAAATTCTAGCTCAGATACCAGACAACCATTCTGGATCTGTTTTTTGTTCTGGCTTCAAGGATTTCCTTTACTTCTCTGCCAGCTCACATAGTACTTAAAACACAGTGTTTTCTCTTCCATTTTTCAAATAAGAATGGTATATATTGAAGGTGTATGACATGATGTTTTAATAATACAGAGTGAAATGATTACTAATAGTCAAGCTAATTAACATACCCATCTCCTCAAATACTTTTTTTTTTTTTGTGGCAAGAGTGCCTGTGATCTATTCTCTTAGCAGATTTCAAGTGAACAATACAGTATTATCAACTACCATCACCGTGCTGTACATTAGCTCTCTAGAACTAATTCATCCTCCATAACAGAAAGTTTGTATCTTTTGACCAACATTTCCCTGCTTCCTTCTACTCCTGCCCTTGGTAACCACCATTCTACTCCCTGTTCTATGAGTGTGATTTTTTTAGATTCCACATACAAGTGAGAACATGCAGTATACATTTTTTTCTGTGTCTGGATTAATTTCACTTAGCATAATTTCTTCCAGCCTCATCCATATTGTTGCAAGTGGCAGAATTGTCTTCATGTGTAAGGCTGAATAAGATTGTGTTATATATATACCACGATACCTTTATCCATTCTTCTGCTGATGGGCACTTCAGTTGTTTCCAAGCCATCGCTATTGTGGATAATGCTGAGGTGAACATGGGAGCATAGTTTTCTCTTTGAGTTACTGATTTCATTTCATTAGGATATATATCCAGAAGCGAGATTGCTGGATCATAGAATAGTTTTATTTTTAATGTTTTGAGGAACATCCATACTGTAAAACACATTTAAAAAATATTTTATTCAACATCTTGAGTTCTTTTCTTTAGATTTATTTATTTATTTTAGAGAGCGAGGGAGCATGAGTAGGGGGAGGGGCAGAGGGAGAGGGAGAGAGGATCTCAAGCAGACTCCCTGCTAAGCACGGATCCCAATGCAGAGCTCGATCTCAGGACCCTGAGATCATGACCTGAGCCAAAATCAAGAGTTGGTTGTTTGCCAGCCACCCTGGCACCCCTCTTAAGAGTTCTTAATAGGGAGGGTTTATTATCTAGATATATAGTCCACCATAATGACAAAAATGGGATTTTAAAAATACATAAATAGTTTTATCTTTTAAAAACAAAAGGTTGAATTGGTGTTACTTGTGGAAGGCCCTCTCAGCTCCCTGAGGGCACCATGAATGCAGTTGGGGGAGGAGTTGGAGTATGGGAGTTTGTTCAATAATGAGGATGATGGTTTGTTTGCTACAATATGAATTCTGATTTTGAAATGAAATTTGAGCCATGCAATATTGAAACTATCATAAAAACATACATATTCTTGTTTTCCTTGCCTTTACAGAAGAACTGAAATATACTCATTGGTGTTGAGAATGTGGAATATTGAACAAATACTTTAATGGTTAATCCAAGTTTTTTCTTTGCATCTGTTTCGAAATTAAACAAATGCTTATGCAGAGCTATAAATAGATTCAGATGAACCCTGGAGATTGCCCAGGTGTATCCTCTTAAGTCTCAGGAATGGAAATGAATAGATTCCTTCCCGTAATTGCAGACCTGACTTAATAGTCCAAGAGAAAAGGTTGCTAAGAAAACCTCCAAATATCTGCTGCTTGTACTGTTATTCTCCACCAGCAAAATGTTAATAATCAATTAGACTACTTGGTTGCTTGTTTGCTCAGACTTGTTCTTATTCATCTCTTTATGTTAATAAGAACAGTATGCTAATTTCCCTTTGTTGAACTCCTACTATGTGTCAGACACTGTAAGAAGCACTTTTTGCTTCTTTGCTTTTTTTCCATCTAATCTTCCAAAGAATTCTGTGAAATGTCTCAGTTTCTGTCCTTTACAGAGGGCATGTGGAGGCTTAGAGAGGAAGAGGAACTTCCCCAAGGTAACATATATAAGGAATTCCAACCTCATTGACTCTCAGCATCAAGTTTATGCCACTGACCATGGCGTCTCTCACATCCCAGTGATTCTCCATTCGTCCATTCATACTTCCTTCCATTGAGTCCCACACTCTCTTTCATGCCCATCCCTCCACTATAGTTTTAAAAAATTGGCATGCTTTTTAATGATTGCAAGTAAAGAAAATACCAAGCAATTTTTTTTGTCTTTCTGATATTTCAAAGGGCAGAGAACAAAACTCTTTTAAGATACAGTTCATGCAGGGGCGCCTGGGTGGCTCAGTCGTTAAGCGTCTGCCTTCGGCTCAGGTCATGATCCCAGGGTCCTGGGATCGAGCCCCACATCGGGCTCCCTGCTCCGCGGAAAGCCTGCTTCTCCTCTCCCACTCCCCCTGCTGTGTTCCCTCTCTCGCTGTGTCTCTCTCTGTCAAAAAAAAAAAAAAAAAAAAAAGATACAGTTCATGCAAACAGCTGGTATCTTAGAGTCTTGTACGGAAACCACGGAGGTTGGTAAAGAACTCTGTATTTGATGTGAACACTACCTGCTAAGTTAGTGGTGGCATTGGGAAGCGTGGTTGTCATGGAAACTTGTTCCTGATTGGGAAATGATGGTTATGGGGTCTTACCCAGACACAGAAGGAGAAATGATTTCTTTCCCCGGGCTTTTTTTTGTTGTTGTTGTTCTGATCATGAAAAGAAAAAACAAAAAGACAGAGAGAAACTGTGATAGAAAGGACCCTCTGGCACAGAAGTGATAGAGCCTTCAGGTCCCTGGGAATAGCAGGGAAGGAGAACAAACAAGGTCCCCAGCTAGAGTAATTGGGGTAACCAGCTAATTAAAGATTTTTGACCAAGGAGAGGATGGGGGAGACAGAAAGCAGGTTATACTGGGAGGGCTTCCCTGCTGAAGCCTTGGGTGCTCAAAGCCGTATTGAATAAGTCAGCCCTGGAGGGGTCTGACTTAAAGGGAAGAAAAACCAAGGCTCCACTAAGATGCATAATAGTTGCTGAGGTTTCATAGGAGAGAAATACTAGTCTGTGCTCCAGTATTGGATTAATTTCAAAAATTGCTTATTCTTGTGTTTGTAGTTAAGTTTGGTCGCAACATAGTCTTTTGTAAAGGTATTCATTCATTCATTCATTCATTCATTCATTCATTCATTCAAGAAACAAAGCCTAGGACCTGGACCTGCCAAATTCCTTCTCATATAGCAAGTACACTTGAGCCTAAGGTACCATTTGGTTTCTTGGGGCAGGTGCCAGAATTCCAGGAATAGCACTCAGAGCGGGGGGCCAGTTTTCGAAATCCAAAGGGATTTGCCACTCCTCCCTTCCCCCACCCCCAACCTATCACATAATGACTAATGTCAGAACTACCACAGCACTGTCTTGGCCCACAGATTGGTGATCACATGGATCACCATGGAAGCCATGGAACCAGAAACATTGGCTGCCATTTGTCATGCTCACATGCTAGTGGATATGTGCTGCCTCGGGGGGTGAGTGAGCAAGTGAGTGTGTATGTGAGTGTAATAGCAGGTGTGTATCCGGGTAGGATGCATATTAATGTCTGAATGTTATTTCTTTGTGGCTATTGATGCTCCTGTGGTTCTGAGACCCGAGCTGGAGGTACAGTTAGGCACGCAGAAAAGCCGTATGGCGGGGCGCCTGGGTGGCTCAGTTGGTTAAGCGACTGCCTTCGGCTCAGGTCATGATCCTGGAGTCCCAGGATCGAGTCCCACGTCGGGCTCCCTGCTCAGCAGGGGTCTGCTTCTCGCTCTGCCCTCTTCCCTCTCGTGCTCTCTGTCTCTCATTCTCTCTCTCTCAAATAAATAAATAAAATCTTTAAAAAAAAAAAAAGCCGTATGGCT